AGGTGGTGGTGTCGGAGAGTTGGCGCCTGGCCTTGGCAATGTCAAGGTCAGTGCGCCATACTACAACTGCGCGTCCCTTGTCCGCGGGTTTTATGGTGAGGTTGGGATTAGAGCAGAGTGAGCGCAGGGCTGCACGTTCTGCAGGGGAGAGGTTGAAGTGGGTGAGAAGGGTGGAGGTTGAGGCAATTGATGTCACAATGGCAGTTGGAGATGAAGAGGTTGAGGGAAGGTAGGAGGCCTGGGGGTGATGTCCAGGAAGGGGGGGGGGTGTTGGAGGCGGAAGAAGGGGTCAGTAGAGGGAGGATTAGGCTCACGGTTAAAGTAGTAAGTGCGGAGACGGAGGCGGCGGAAAAACTGTTCAACGTCCAAGCACGAGCGGTATTCGTTGATGTGGGGGTGGAGGGGGACAAAGTGAGCCCTTTACCGAGGACTGACCGTTCGTCCATAGTAAGAGGTTTGGCGGGAGGATAGTGAAGACTCGGCAGGGCTGGGTGCTACTGTCTCATCTGGAGCTGCTGGCTGTGGAGGCAATGGGCGGAGCAATGCTGGCGGCGGCAGCAGCGGTGTCGGCAGGTGCGTCCTCAGTGTCTGTGGTGTTGGCCTCGGAAATGGAGGCGGTGGCATCAGCAGTGGGGTCGATGGCGTTTGCTGTCCCGGAAGTGGTGTACCCGTCAGCAGCAGATGTGACATCATCCACAGGTGCTCCGAAAGTGGCCACATGGCCGATGGCGGTGGGCACATTGTGGGGAAGGTCCTGGGTAGGGTTGGGGTTTTGGGAGTGGAGGAAGCCCGTTTTGGGTGGCAGGCACCAGTAAGTTTACTGTACTCACGGTTTTCAGTCTCCAATAAAGCTGAGTAGAATTCAGAGTTCAGGTTGTGGATCCTACGAAGAATAAAAAACAGGACAGGTCCTTTGCAGGTCTGGGAGAGGGAGGCTCTGAGCTGGGGTAGGCTTGATTGTAGTGCCAGGAGATGCCGGTGCATCACGGCGAGTGTGTGTTTCAGGAGTCGCAGGGAGAAACATTTTTGAAGGATCTCAATGTTCTGAATGTAGACATTGTCACGGTTGGGCCAAATTGGGAAGGCCTAAATGTGGACTGTAGTCCATTGGGGATGATCTGGTTCCGTAGGCAGGTACTAAGGCAAGTAATGTGGCTGTAGTACCTGGTTTGCTTCAGGATGTGGTCGAGCAGTTTCAAGGCCGAAGAGATTACGAGAGAGTTGCAGTGGGCGAGAGATCCATGAGGTTTTTCCGGAGGGAGGAGGGTAACTTCTTCAAGGTAGGCATCCTTAGAAGAGGCTTCGCAATGGGGTTAAAATTGTTTCAGAGATAGTAGGAACTGCAGATGCTAGAGAATCTGAGATAACAAGGTGTAGAGCTGGATGAACACAGCAGGGCAAGCAGCATCAGAGGAGCAGGAAGGCTGACGTTTTGGGCCTAGACCCTTCTTTAGAAATGGGGAAAGGGAAGGGGGTTCTGAAATAAATAGGGAGAGAAGGGGAGGTAGATAGAAGATGGATAGAGGAGAAGATAGGTGGAGAGGAGACAGACAGGTCAAAGAGGCGGGGATGGAGCCAGTAAAGGTGAGTGTAGGCGGGGGAGTTAGGGAGGAGATAGGTCAGTCCAGAGAGGACGGACAGGTCAAGGGGGCGGGATGAGGTTAGTAGGTAGGAGATGGTATCAATGTGGACTTCACAAGCTTCAAAACCTCCCCTCCCCCTACCAAATGTCAAAACCAGCTCAGCTTGTCCCCGCCTCCCTAACCTGCCCTTCCTCCCACCTGATCCCCTCTTCCCACCTCAAGCCCCACCTCCATCTCCGACCGACTAACCTCATCCCGCCGGCTTGACCTGTCCGTCCTCCCTGGACTGACCTCTCTCCTCCCTAACTCCCCACCTACACTCACCTTTACTGGCTCCATCCCCGCATCTTTGACCTGTCTGTCTCCTCTCCACCTATTTTCTCCTCTATCCATCTTCTATCTGCCTCCCCCTCTCTCCCTATTTATTTCAGAACCCCCTTCCCCTTCCCCATTTCTGAAGGAGGGTCTAGGCCCGAAACGTCAGCCTTCCTGCTCCTCTGATGCTGCTTGGCCTGCTGTGTTCATCCAGCTCTACACCTTGTTATCTCAGATTCTCCAGCATCTGCAGTTCCTACTACCTCTAGGAATTCCCATGCTTGTCTCTGTTTGGCCTGTCCCAGGATCCTGTTGTTGTAGTCCCAATCGAACTGGTGGTTCTCTTTATCCGTGTGAATGGAGATGAGCGAGTACATGTACCCTTGTGGCCAAGTTTCTTCCTGTCTGTCCAATGCAATGTTTGTCGCAGTCCTTGCATGGGATTTTGTATATTACGTTTGTTCTGTCCATAGTGGGTAGGGGTTCTTTGGTTCGAGTTAGCAGTTGGTGCAGGGTTGACGTGGGTTTGTGTGCTACTCTGATGCCCAATGGTCATAGGAGTCTTGTGGTCACTTCGGATATGTTCTTGACGTATAGTAGCATAATGAGTGTGTTAGGGAGTGTAGCATCTTCCTGGTGCTGTTAGTCAGATCCAGCCGTTCAGGTATCCGTTGTCCTTAAATACATGGTGGAGGTACTTTTCTTCTTTCTGGTGTAGTTCTGGGTTGCTACTGTGTGTTGTTGCTCATTTAAATAGTGTTTTCACGCAACTTCATGTGGGTGTTAGGGTGGTTACTGTTGAAATTGAGTACTTGGTCAGTGCGTGTGGCTTTTCTGTGTACCTTCGTTATGAATTCCCCGTTGGTCCTGTGTTCTACCATAACGTCCAGGAATGGGAACTGTTCATTCTTTTCCTCTTCCCTGGTGAATTTGATGCCGGTGAGAGTGTTGTTTATTAGTTGATGTGTCTCCTCTAGTTTGGTATGTTTGATGATGACGAAAGTGTTGTCCACGTATTGGATCCATAGTTTGGGTTGGATTTGCAGGAGGGCCATGCTTTCGAATCTCTGCATCACCGCTTCTGCTATTAGTCCAGAGATAGGTGACCCCATGGGTGTCCCATTGATCTGTTCGTAGATTTGGCCATTAAATGGTAAAGTGGGTCATGAGGCATAGGTCCAGAAGTTTCAGCATGTTGTCTGTGGAGATGGTGTCACTTGGGTCTCTTTTTTTTTTAAGCAGTGCTGCTAGCATTTCTCTTTCCAGTGATATGTCTTTCGATGTGAATAGGGCAGTAATGTCAAATGACATCATGGTCTCATCATCGTCTATTCTTACGTCCTTGAGGGATTTGAGTAACTCCTGGGCTGAGTGGATTGAGTGGGATAACTTGCTGATGAGGTGCTTCAGTCTTTGGCTAACCTACGTGTTGGTGTGCCTGGGAAGGAGACTATGGGTCTGAGGGGTACTTACAGTTTGTGTACCTTTGGGAGGCCGTAGAATTGGGGGGAGCACAGGAATTCCTCGAGGCCTCGTTCTCTACCAAGAAGGCCATCAACAAACACAGAACTAGACCCTGTATATACACACCACTGCAAAGGAAAACTGTAAATGAGGTAATCAAATCCAATGGACCCCAGAGTTTAAATACCAGGCAGGAAAACACAACTGCGCTTCATTGGAAGCTGCACTGATGATGTTACCCAGCAGGGTAATGAAACATCGGCGAACGAACCACAGCATGGCTTCCTTGCAGTATTGAAAGGCGAGGCATAGGTACAAAAGTAAAAGACTACAGAATCATGAAGTACTTGCAGGGGTTCTCCACATGAGATTTTCATTTAATGCTGTTCTGCCTTCTCCCTATAATCCTACACATTTTACCTTTTCAAATAACTGTCTTACTTACTTTGGAATGCCTCAATTGAACCTGCCTCTACCACACACTTAGGCAGCGCATTCCAGATGCTACCCTCTCGCCGCAAGCAAAAGCCTTGTCTCAGATCATCTTTGCTTCTTTTGCCAATTTCAATCTGCGCCATTATTTTCTTGATGTATCTTTGCCATCACCTCAACAGGGTTCGAACTCATGCGATGGAAGCACTGCCTATATTACAAAAGTCTTCATTAGACCCCATCCGAAGTACTGCTTCAATCTCAGGTAATACACCTCATGGAAGTGGCCTCAGAGGGATACAGCATTAATTCATCCAAATGATGATAGGGCTTACAGTTACTGTCTAAGCTATTTTGTGTTCCTTATGCTTCAAATAGTTGAAGGTTAATCAAATTAAGGTGTTTAAAATAGAAACGGTAAAACTACTCCCTCTGCTAACAGAATCTAGAACAAGATGGAACATCTCAAATCGGAGATATGCCTTTTATGGAGTGAAATCAATAAGCAACTTCTCACAAAAAAAAGGCTAATGGAAATTTGGAAACCCCTCCTCAAAAATTTAGGGATATTGAAGCAATTCAAACTTGCAGGACAGACATTGACCGGTTAACTTTTGTTAACCGAGCACTTCATGAAATATACAAAATGGGTGTGTACTTTTGTTCCACAAGCCAAACTGTATTGGTCACTAGAGGCTTGAGGTGGTTAAATGGCCTGCTCATGCTTCCATATACCTGTTCAATAGATTCAAATTTTTTAGGGTTTAATAAAATCTTCATCTTTAACAGGTGGCAATTATTTCAGCAGTGACTACAACAACATCCTTATTGGTTAATTCAGTCTCAAAATACTTACATATACCACTCATAGGTATATGCCAGATGTTATTAACAACTGGGTTAATGTATTTTCATTAAATTTAACAAATATTAAAATCACGCTGCACAATTACATGGTAGAGAAAGAAAAACAAATGTCCTGACTTTTTAGTCCGTGTGTCTAATATTCTACTTCAACCAGAGGTGAAATGTAGTGGGGAGATGGATGTATTTGAGTGGGGTTGGGCCAAGACGGCTGTATAGTAATAAACCAGAAATCTGGAATAAACAATTTGATATCCCACAACATGTACATTCTGAAATTTAAAAACAAAGCAGTGCTGAGCTGAACCCATGGAAGACAAATATTATATTAGCCCTACTTACCACTAGAGACTGCTCGAGAGAAACTTGCCGATCATCCTTTTCAACTGTACGCCTACAATCTGGGCAAACCCACAGTGGAAGGTGCAACATGCTATTAGTTTTTGGAGATGTAGAAAGTGCCATTTTATTTGGGTTTGTAATCCCACTCTCCGAGAGTGAAGAGTCCTTGCGTTCACTTCGACACAGAAGACATCTTTCTCCTGTTGAGTACGGTGCTCTCTGACCCAGGCCAAAAGTGAAGGGTGTCTGAATTGAGAGAAATACAAAATAAGTCCAGTAGCAAGTGACTAAAACAATTCAAACACCTTCAGTTTTACACATCATGAGTTTCATGGCTCCTCAAAGGCTACGTCATATTAATTTTCATTATTATTTGAAATTCCAGGACTTTCTGGTGTTTAGATGCTATTTTCATTCTCCATATTATCAGTCACTGGTCTTGCAATTCACATTTAACACTCGGATCTAGAATACAGACATAGCACAAATTTAAAGACTACAGGTCATGTACAGCTCGCTTGTACACTTGTACCCAATTCTTAAGACTTGCATTGCTCTACAACTGATTAACTAACAACTCTTCGGGCCTTTACTGCAACTAATTTATCCAAAGTAATTTTAATATGTACAACTTTCAACCTCATTGCTAAAATCTCATTCGCCCTATTCTGTCTCTAATGAACAAAGAACTTTTTAAACATCCAAGCCCATCAAGTAACCCTTCAGATATCAAACACTCAGAGCTCCACTTGCTGGGACAGTTTGAACTGGCATTTAAATCATACACCTTTTGAAATTGAGGTGGCAATGTTACCACGAAGACACAAAACTTGCTTTGGTAAATACCAAATCACCTTTTCCTCTAAAGGGTACTAGTGACATGATGCAGACATTGTGCCCATCAGAAAAAAAAATACTTCAAGCCTCCAACTGCTCAAGTAAATACAAATAAGGTAACTGCCCTAAATCTATAACAATTTGAGTTTATGAAGTTCAATACTTCAAATGGGTTACTGAGTTGAATAAACTGAGCAAAGCCAAGGGTTATATCTGCTAGAAATATTCATGGATGAAAGGAGTTGAGAGAGCAAATAGGGAAAGAGTATCTCTTCTTCTCACTTAACATTTAAGGGGGGATGTCAGAAGGAACATTTCTCCAAACAAACTTACTAAGCCAAGAGTCTGTCAAAGGTTAGTCAATTAACTGGCACGAAGCAAGTGGCTCAAATGCTGCACAGGACATGCAGGGATCTGAAATTCAGACTTCATTAATGGGCAGCTGTGATAAACTGACAACCGAGAGGCTAACATCCAATTTAACAAAGCTTCCAGGTGATAAACCTCCAATACCTTTACTATAGTCCTTCAAAAAAGGGGAGCATTTCACCTCTACCTCATCATGTTTATATATGTAGCATCAGCCCCACACTAATTTAAGACACTGACTTCAGCCTGACTCAGCACTAACTTTCACCAAGTCTTGCCTGGACTATTACATTCTCTAACAAAAAAAACAAAGAACTGCAGGTACTGGAAATCTTAAACAAGAACAGAAATCGCTGAAGGACGGTGACCACTGGACCTGAAAAAATTGACCGTGTTTTCTCTCCATAAATGCTGCAAGACCTGCAATGTTTCTCCAGCAGGTATGGCTTTTGTTGTGCTCTCATCCTACCTTGCAGAACAACCAGGACTTGCACATCTTGTTAAATTAAAAAATCTAAAGGCTTCACAAGAATCGTTGTCCAATAAAGCAACTAATTTTTTTTAAAAATCTCTAGAAGTATTTCACGAGATCTTGATGTCACGATTAAGGTCAACACTATTTGCCTGTCACCAATTTTACTTTGATTTGAGTGGCTTTTTAGGCCACCATAGAGGTAATTTAATTTCTGTGGCACTACAATCACATGTAGGGGCCAGTCCGAATTATGATGGCAGATCCCGTTCCCTCAGGTCACCAACACTGACTGCATGTTCAACTCTCACTGGCACAGCCAATGCCTGCATCCCATGAGTGAAGAAGAAAAAATAATTAAATTAATTTAAATTCCACAAGCTCCATATCACCAGTCCAGTGTGATGAGAATATTTATTTAAATACTTTTTAAGAGTATAGATTTCAAATAGTGGCATATCGGAGTTGGTTACTTTGTGAAGGATTTTCTTCCCAAATCAAACAGTCTCCTTCCAGACTGTAATCTGTCCAGCACTGTTCAGAAAGCAAATGGCTATAGACCCCTGGAGTGTTTGTAGAAATTTCTTTAATTCACTCACGGGGTGTGTGATGATGGCCGGGAAAGCATTTACCAGGGCCTACATAGTTGCCCATGAGGTGGTGATGGTGAGCTGCCTTCTTGAATTGCTGTAGTCCAAGTGCTGTAGTTTACCCACAATGCCACCAGGGAGGATGTTCCAGGACTCAGATCCATCGAGACTAAAGGAATGTGAAATATTTTCAAGTCAGGAGATGACTGGAGGGGAACTTGCGGGTGGTGCTGTTCCCACGTATCTCCTGCCCTTGTTCTTCAAGATGGAAGTAGATGTGGATTTGGAAGGTACTGTCTAAGGACCCTTGGTGAATTCTTGCACTGCATCTTCGAGATGGTGTTGCTGCTGCTATTAAGCATCTGAGGAGGAGGAAGTGGATGTGGTGCCAATCAAATGGGCTGCTGTGTCCTGGATAGTGTCAAGCTTCTTGAGTGTTGCTGGAGCTGCACCAAGGCAAGTGAGAAGTCCTCTATCACACTCCTGACTTGTGCCTTATGAACAGGCATTGAGGAGTCAGATTGTGACTTACTTGCTGCAGGATTTCATCTTCAAGCTCTAGAAAGCCTGTGAACAGTTCACGGAAATGCAGATCTTAAATTGTGCTTAGGCCAGTAAAATGCCCAGACTGCTTCTTTATTTTATGATATTAAGCATACCTAAGTTACATAAACATTTTTGTATCTTAAAAGAGAAACAAAAGTTTACTTTGCTGATGGTAAATGATAGGGTTCAAAAACTGCAGTTTTTTGTATAATATTACAAAACATCCCAAGACTTTTCATACGACCACAAAGAAAACGCCAATATCTTACTACGTAAGCTTTAATAAAGAAGTGAATTTTAGAATGTCTTATTGGAGAGGAAATTCAATAGCTTCTTTCCAAAGCAGATGAAGACACAGACACAAATGTGGTGAAGATCCACGAGTAGCCAGATGATTGGGAAGCCTTTATAAAACAGTAGAGGACAATTAAAAAAAGCTGGGAGGAGAAATAACAGGGTAATATAGCTTGTAATATAAAAAGATTGCAAGAGTTTAAGGTCGATAAAGTCAAGAGAGAAGCAAGCATGGATACTGGACCACTGGAGTAGTAGTAATGGGGAACAGAGAAATGGCAGAGGAACGGACTGCATTCTTTGCCTCAGGATTTCACAGTAGTATACCAGAACTTCAGAAGAGTCAGGGGCAGAGGTGAGTGCAGTGGCCATCACCAAGGCGAAGGTGCTGAAGATTTTAGACTCTATTATCAAAGGTAAAATTGTGGAGTACTTAGAAGTGCATGACAAAATAGGGCTCAGTCAGAATGAATTGTCAAGGAGAGACCAAGCCTGACAAATCTGTTAGAATGCTTTGAAGTAATAATGAGCAACTCTGACAAAGGAGAGCCAGTGGGATGTGATCTATTTGGATTTCCAGAAGGCCTTTGACAAGGTGCCACACAGGAGGCGCTTTGTAAGATAAAAGCCCATGGACTTAGGGGCAAGGTATGTGTACAGATAGAGGATTGGCTGACTGGCAGAAGGCAGTGTGTAGGGATAATGGTGTCTTTTGCAAGATGACAGCCAGTAACTCAGTTCTGCAAAGATCTGCAGTGAAACCACAACTATTGGCATTAAATCATTAATGATCTGGACGGAAGCATTGTTACGAAGTTTGGAGATACGACAAATAGGTGGAGGGGAAGATAGTGTTGAGGAAACAGAGGTTGCAGAAGGACTTGAGTAGGCTAGTGTGTTGGAGTTGGCAAAGAAGTGGCAGATGGAAGACAACATGGGATAATGAGGTTACATCCTTTGGTAGGAAGAATAGAGGCATCGACTATTTTCTAGATGGGGTAAGACTTCGGAAATCTCAAGCACAAAGGGACTTGGGATTCCTAATACAGGTTTCTCTTAAGGCTCATTTGGCAGTTAGAAAGGAAAATTCGATGTCAGCATTCATTTTGTGAGGGCTTGAATACAACAGCAGAGACGTACTGCTGAGGTTTTATAACACATTGGGTCAGACCACACTTGGAATACCGAGAGCAGTTTTGGGCCCTGCATGTAAGGAATGTTGAGAGAAGATTTACAAAAATGAGCCCCGGATGAAGGGCTTGTTGTATGAGGGGTGGTTGAGGCTTCGGTCTGTACTCAATTGAGTTAAGAACAATCAGAGGTGGATCTGATTGAAACTTTCAGAATACTGAGCAGCCTGGATAGACTGGACACAGAAGATATCAAAGAGAGTACGGCTGAAGGGCACAGCCTCAAAGTGAAGGCACCATGTACAGCTGACGCGAGGTGTATGTTCTTCAGTCAGAGTTGTGAATCTCCACAGAAGGCTGCAGAGGCCAAGTCATTGAGTGCATTTAAAAATGGAATGGGGGGGTTCATTAGTAAGAGCATCAAAAGGGAGAAGGCTGGAGAGCAGGGTTGAGAAACATCATTCACGATTGAATAGTGGAGCAGACTTGATAGGTCAAGTGGTCTAACTTTGCTCCTATATCTTACAGTCTTAAGCTCAGTTATGAAGGTGGCTATATGTAGGGATACTCAAGGAGCCAAAAGTAGAGGGATTGACATCTTGGAGAAAGTGGGGGGGGATTGGAGGAGATTACAGAAATGGGAAGTGATAAAGTCATAAGGAATTTGAGCCCTTGTAGCCTGTTGGTGTAGGTAGACCCACAGCGCCATTCGGGACAGAGTTTCAAGGTTTTGATTCATCAACACTTAAGCAACAGCAATATATTCAAAATCAGGATGATGAGCGGCTTGGAGATTTGCAGGACAGAAAAAGGCCTTTTGGTTTGGAGCAGAACTGTACATAGTACATATCTCATGTCCTTGTCCTTCTAGATGGTAGTGGTCATGAGGTTGGAAGGACCAAGTGTCAGTATGGGGGGGGGTGGTGCCTGCTTGTGAATGTGGTACCAATCGAAATCCCAATGGTGCCAAGCTTCTTAGGTGTTGTTGGAGTGACACTAATGAAGGCAAGCGAGGGCATTTTATGCTGTTTGGCATGCAAGCTTCTTAGCTTCATTGCTTCATCAGACTGACTTTTTTTTTTAAGGTATTCCCCGTGCTGCTCCCAGCATACCCTCCTGCACTCTTCATTGAGCTACGGTTAATCACCTGGCTCAATTATTACAGTAGAGTAGAAGCCATGCCAGGCCACGAGGTTGTAGATTGCAGCTGAACATAATTCTGTTGGTGATAGCCCACAGTGCCTCATGGATGCCCAGTCTTCAGCTGCTAGATCTGTTGGAAAACAGTCCTATTTCACACAGAGCTAGTGCCACGCAACTCAAATGGAGCGTATTCTCAAAGTCAAGTCGGACTTGGTCTCCACAAGGATTGTGCAGCAGTCACTCTTCGTGATAATGTCATGGAAAGATGAATGTGAGGCAGGCAGATTGGGGAGGGGGAGGTCAAGTAGGTTTTCCCCTCTTGTTGGTTGTCTCACCACCTGCCACAGACCCAGTCAAGCTGTTCTGTCCATTAGTATTCAACCTGCTGCTAACCACTCATCAAGATCCCCTACGCAGAGTACACTTTGTGCACTTGCCACCCTCAGTGGTGTTCAATATGAAGCAGCACTAATTTATCCAAAAAAGGTTTCCTTGTCCACGCTGACCTCATATTATGACACTTCATGGATTCCTAAATAAATCAACTCCCTCCTGACTGTACACCCTCTGCTGGTCTGCCAGTTTGTGGGACAGTAATTACCCAGTGAAGGAGATGGTACTATCTGGGGTGGTGTTTAAGGTAAAGAGAGCACATAACTTTCAAACTATTGGCTTGACTGTGAGACAGCTCTCCCAATTTTGCTCCTAGAAAAGGTGGATTTTGTAGTGTTGACAGGATTGAATTTGCCACTGAGTCCTTAGTCAAGTCCGTCCTTTTGAGACTTTAGCAGTTGATACATGGACCAGTAATGTTGCATCAATTTCCAAGAGAATTAAAAACTAACCACCTCCCTGCAAGTCAGATATCTGCAGATTTCCTTGGGTTTTGGGTCATGTTTTTATGACAATCGACATTGGCTTCACGGTCATCATGAGACTTTTAATTCCAGATTTTTATGAAGTTCAAATTCCAAGTGCTATGCTGGGATTTGAATCTGGGTCCCTGGAATGTTACCCAGGTCTCTGGATTACTAATCCAGCAAAAGCACCACTACGCCATTGGTTTCGCATTCAAATTAAAGCAATTCTGAAATGAAGTCATCATAACAATGTGGTTACCATATTCCCACCCCAGCAATGGATGAGCCCAGCACATCACTGTATAAGACAAAGCATTTGCATCCATCACAATAAGATCGCAGACGATCCAGCTCTGCCTCCTCCTGAGGTCCCCAGCATCTCAGGTACCAGTATCTCAGGTACCAGTTTGTGACTTATTTGATTAAATCCACATGATATCAAATGGCTGAAGGGTATCGGGTGTTGCAAATACAATAGACCCTAACAACATTCAGTACTAATTCTTTAGACTTCTGTTCATGAAAAAGACAAATCCAATTATCACCACATCATTCAACCTTATGCCATCTTCCACAGTGAAGTAGGTTCAAGGCATCACATGCAATTAGTGGATGTTCATTAGTAATTTGTCCAAACACAGATTTAGTTGGGCATCTTAAATTTGATAACTTCAGCATCTCGTTTTCCTCTCTTGCAAAGTTTGAGATTTGTAAGTCTGAAAACAGCATTTGGCATGCTTGCCTTCATTGGTCAGACTACCGAGTATAGGAGTTGGGACATCATATTGTGCTGTGTGTAGGAGGTTGAGGGGTGACATTACAGAGGTTTACAAAATCATGAGAGGCATAGCTAAGGGGAATAGCAAAGATCTTTTCCTTATGGTCAGGGAAATTCAAAACTAGCTAGTTTTAAGGTGAGAGGGGCAAGATTTAAAAGGAGACCTGAGGGACAACCTTTTCATACAGACGGTGGTACATATATGGAATGAACTGCCAGAGGAAGTGGTGAATGCAGGTACAGTTACGACATTCAAAAGACATTTGGACAGGTACATGGATAGGAAAGGTTTAGAGGGATAGAGGCCAACACATACAAAATGAGACTAGTTTAGTTTAAGAAACCTGGTTGGTACGAACAAGTTAGACTGAACGGTCTGTTTCGGTGCTGTAAGACTGACTTTAACTATTATTATAACAATATCTTTGGACTTATTTACAATTATTGTGGGGATAGCTGGATTTTTGTTGGAAAAGATTCATTGAATTTTTTTTTTTTAAATTAGGCACTTTTCTAGAAATGTTAAGGCTCCAAATAACTGTTGATCTTAGTTGCCTGAACTAATCTCAAAGAAAATAAATGGATTTTAATGCTTTATGGCTGTTTTGTTTGCAGTGTTTTGCAGGCTTGATTTTGGTAAATAGTCTGGGATTGTCCAGGGAATTCTGCTGTAGAATACGCCATCTCGACTCTCCCATTTCTGAAACTTTTGTGGCAAATTCATTTTTGCACCTGACTGCCCTTTAAGAGCAACTGGAAGACTTCTCGATACTGCGCTGCCTGATCAAGTTGCACATGCTAAGATCCCAGATATAACTACCCATATTTGGCGAGGTCTGCCTACTCATGCGATAATGTCAACTGACTGCCATCTGAATACCTCCGTTTTAATTCATTCATGGGACATGGGTGCCACTGGCTGGCCAACATTTATTGCCCATCCCTAGTCACCCTCATCAAGGTGGTAAGCTCCCTTCCTGAACACTGAACTTCACGTGCTGTGGACACACAATGCCCTTAGGGATGGAATTCCAGGATTTTGACCCAGCAAATTGAAGGAATAACCATATATTTCCAAGTCAGGATGGTGAGTGGCTTGCAGGGGAGCTTGAGGAGCGATAGTATTCCCATGTACCTACTTGCCCTTGTCCTACTAGATGGAAGTGATTACGGTTTGGCAGGTGTCATCTAAGCATCTATGGTGAATTTCTGCAGTGCATCTTGTCAATAGTAGTACATACTACTGCTATGTAGCATTGGTGGCAGGGTGAGTGGATGCTTGTGGATGTGGTGCCAATCAAGCAGGCTGCTTTGCCCCGGATGGTGTTAAGCTGGAGTGTTGTCAGGGTTGCACCCATCAAGAAAGCAGGGAGTACTCCAACACACTTCTGACTTGAGCCTTGAAGATGAACAGTCTCTGGGGAATCAGCAAGTGGGTTACTTGCAACGTTCCTAGCTTCTGGCCGGCTCTTGCAGCCACTGTGTTTACGTGGCAAGTCCATTTGAGTTTCTGGACAATGCAAACCTAAATATGTTGAAAATGGGAGATTCAGTGATGGTAACAATATCGGAATATGGATGGGTGTTGGTCTCTTATTTGAGATGGTCACTGCCCAGCATTTGTGTGGTGCAAATGTTACTTGGCAACCGTCAGCCCAAACCTGGATATCATCCAGATCTTGTTACATTTGAATATGGAATGCACATCATCTGAATGCGCTTCACCATGTCTCCACAAATGTCCAGGTCAGTGGCAGTCAGGAGCTGTTGGAGACCAGGCATCCGATCACCCCCAGAGAAGAGAGAGCATCACAGTTTCATCCATTAACAACTTTATACACTCTGCATGGAGTAGAATGCACAGCAGCAGGCAGGTTTGCCAGAGGCACTGACAAAAATGATTTGAAGATTGGAAGACAATATCTGGTCATCATCCAGGATGAAGCAGCTCAGTTGATTGGCACTCTATCCACCACCTTCATCAATTATTTCATTTGGCACTGATGCATAACTTGAGCAGTGAGTACCACCTTCAAAGTACACATGAGCACTCACCAAGACTCCTCTGACAGCGCCTCCTAAACCCATGACCTCTATTACCGAGAAGAAGGGCAGTAGGTTCATGGAAACACCACCACACAAAAATTCTCCAAGTCAGAAACCACGCCAACTTGAAATTATATCACTGTTCCTTCACTGTCACTGGACCAGCATCTTGGAACTTCTGGAAATTCCTAACAGCATTGAGAGAGTGCCTCTACCTCCCAAAGACTGCAGTAGTTCAACATGACAATTCAGCTTTTCCAGGGTAATTAGGGATGGGCAATAAATGCTGACATAACCAATGACATCACCAATGACATCCACATCCTATTCATGCACTATTAAAAATCCTACGCTTGTTCGTATTTGCACCTGAGAAGTTGATGGCTTTCCCTTTAGGAGACTTCAATTTTAAATTAAGTCTATTCTGTAATAAGTCTATTGTAAAGACTGTGTATAAAGGGCAATAAACAGTAAATAAAGTTCACAATTAGATATCTTCATTCTTAGGTTTCAAATGGTTCTGAAACCCAGGAATAGCAAAGGAGTTCTTCAGATGAATGGCTCTCAATCCCAGCACTGCTGGTCACATGACAACTCCGCTCATCTCTTGGCAATCAAATTCTTGGGAGAGTTAGTGACCTTCAGTCATAAAGTCAGCTGTGCATGATATTGGACTGGTAATCCAAAATTTACCAGTTTGAATCCCATTCATATCCTCTAGCTATATACTATCTGGATTACTTAACACACACTACTCAGTTAATAACACAAATGCCTGATGTTTAAAAAGCATCAGAACCTCAAAAGGCGAACAATGAAATGATGTTTTGCTACCCTGACTCTTAGAATTTAAAAAGAACTGGGATTCTCAATTGTTTCAATGAACAGTTGTAGAATTTAAATAGGCAAAAGATGAAATATGCAAATAATCCTACCTGAGGGACCTCTGCGAACTCTGATCCCACAGTTCCATCTGACAGCTGTGCGCCATTTATAGAAACCTGCAAAACAAAATATTGATAAACATTAATATAATTAAACATGATAAAACTAACCAAAAATAAAAAGTACTTTGCAAGCTGGAAACCAGAAATAAAAACCGAAAATGCCGGAAGCACTCAGAGTCAATGACCTTTCATCAGTTGACTATATTTTTCTCTCATGGTGAATACCATAACCTGCTACATTGGCAGCAGTTTTTTTCATTTCTGAAATCTGACCAGATTAGGCGACTGCATACAGTGAGTAATCTTGTTTTAAAAAGTGATTTTCAGTACTAACCAGAGCACTCAAATTTAATGCCACTGCTCCACTGTTCTCCCCAAAACCCTGCATGCTCATCTGCTCCAAATATTGATCTATAATCTAGCAACAGAATCTATCTTAACCACTCCCTACAGAAATAAATTTCCCATAAACTCTGAACATTACAATAAATTTTAAATTGATAGCACCTTGTCACCAAATCCAGATTTCCCAATTCACATGCAAATTCCCTCAAAAAATTTTATATACATATTAGATTGTTATCTCAGTCTCTCCGCTCAATAGGAATTACTTTCCAAAAGGAGAAAAGTGATCTCCTCTTTGCTATTGTTTGTCCCTGGCATTGTTCTGACTAATTAGTGATAATCCAACACCACCTCACCTATCTGGAACTTGGACTTTAGACAATACTACCTTCAATGCCTCTGACTCCACCACTCCAACAGAACTGCATTGGAAACAGTAGACCCTCAGGACCAACCTATCTAATTTGAAAAGACAGCAGCGCACTTTTCAATTAGACACCAGGACATTCATGCAGGCATTCTGGTCAATAGTCCATTTCAGTCTTAAATTTTCTGCAAGCCACTATTGTTCAAGAATGCCTAAAGGATTCTTTGCAGCCTTAAAATTGGAAATCCTACCCGAGTCTCCCAGGCTTGTTTCAAACAGAGCACCTGCAGATGAAATGACTGACTACAGTACACGACCTGAGACACAGCACTAACACTCAGCTGGTAATGCAATTACAAATTTTGTCCTTGGAGGAAGGAGCTCCAGGTGTGTTAACACTGTTGACGACTACTTGGTGCCCGGACAATAAAAGGATGCAAGATAGTTACGAATATTTAAATAAACATATTGCCAAAACACCAAATTACAATTCTCCCCCTACCATTTGTCTAAGCAAGCCCCATGACAACAATGCTACTTCGCACAGTGCCCTCTATTTTAAATAATTAGTGATCTTCCACTGAAGCGTACATGTATTTTAAACTGAGTACAGACACATTGCAAACAGTCCTTAATATTTAATACAATGTAAATGAGAAGGACCAGTCTTACTGTGAAACAGACATGTCAGTAGGAGTTGACCGGGAAAGGGATTGGGGGAATGAACTAGGTAATATCAATTAAAATTTCCATTTGGAAACCTTTTACTAAAGGTTCAGCAACCAAGATAGCCTGGGCTTGTTGAAGCTAAGCAAATAATAGCACAGCTTTTATTGGGCACAGAGGAAGAGGTGCATCTGTTTGGAAACAGTTTAGCCAATTCCCTAGTAACGTAGTCTTTGTATATATTGCAAGGTTTGCATTTTTTGGGGAACTGCCATCACATTAACTCTCAATTTCATTCCTTCAGATAAACAAGCACTGAACTGTGTCACCTCTCATATTTGGTCATCTTAAAGAGACAGCACACAGTTCTGTATGACCAGCTCTTGTACGACCTGTGCCGTTCTTTTGTGAAATCTGTTACAGTACTTCAGTTTTGAAAAATAATTCCTTGCCTGGATGGATAAGTACCTATACTTAGCAGTGAATAATACAAATCAAGCAGTTTATTACAGGATCCAAGCACTTGACTTTTCTTTGGAATGTTACCCATTTCTTTACATCAATTCATAGATCTTTTTTAAAAATTACAATATCAAAACAAATCATTTATAAAAGTGTACCTCCACTCCTAGACAATGGACTATATTGAGGCCTCTGAATGGAAACAGTTGAACTCTCTTGTTCACGTCCACTGAAGCTTCCAACTGTTTGTAAGGAACAACTGTAAGGCCTCTACTTCACCTCAGATTATTATGCAACTGAATGGCTGGCTTGGCAAAACACATCCAATGGGCCAAATGGTATACTTCTGCTCCTATGCTTTAACGAATCTGACAATCATGTTGTGGTTATAACTGAGATCTCACTTATAAAAAGGCACGAGTGTTATCTCAGGAAGAGAAAGTAATGCAAAGTGTTACTTAAATGGATAATGATCCAAAGTGCAGAGGGATTTAGGTGTTCTGGTGCATGAATCACAAAACATTAATACGCAGATCAGCATGTAATCAATGGGGTACTTTTCTTTATGGAGAGAAGCTGAACTTAAAAGGAAGGATGTTATGCTTCAGTTATACAGGGCATGACTAAGAACACATGTAAAATAGCACCTGCCTACGGAACCAGATCATCCCCAATGGACTACAATCCACATTCAAGCCTTCCCAATTTGGCCCCAACCGTGATAATATCTACACTCATGGGGTTGAGATCCTTCAGAAGCGTTTCCCCCGCGACTCCTGAAACACACACTTGCAGCAATGCGCCGGCATCTCCAGGCACTACAATCAAGCCTACCCCAGCTCAGAGCCTCCCTCTCCCAGACCTGCAAAGGACCTCTCCTGTTTCTTATTCTACGTAGGATCCACAACCTGAACTCCCAATTCTACTCAGCTTTATTGGACACTAAAAACCGCAAGTACAGTAAACTTACTGGTGCCTACGACCCAAAACGGGCTTCCTCCACCCCCCAAATCCCCAGCCGTACCCAGGACCTTCCCCACAATGGGTCCGCCGCCATTGGCCATGAGGCCACTATCGGAGAACCCACAGATGACGTCACATCCGCCACCGCCGGGTTCCCCACTTCCGGGACAGCAAGCACCATCGCTGCCGTTGCCACCGACACTGAAGTCGCGACCACCCTCACCGCGACTGCCGCCGCCTACCCCGCTCCTCCTACCTCCAACGCCGGTCCGCCCATCACCGACGCGGATACAACTCCACCCACCGCCGGCGCAACTCCGCACACCGCCGACACCGGCACAACTCCGCCCACCGCCGCCGACGCTCCGCCCACAGTCGACGCCGACACAGCTCCGCCCACAGCCGACGCCGACACAGCTCCGCCCACCACCTCCACAGCCAGCAGCTCCAGAGGAGACAGCAGTACCCAGCCCTGCCGAGTCTTCACCATCCCCCCAGACCTACCCCTTACTGAGGACGAACGGTCAGTCCTCAGTAAAGGGCTCACCTTTGTCCCCCTCCACCCACACATCAACGAATACCGCTCACGCTTGGACATAGAGCAGTTTTTCCGCCGCCTCCGCCTCCACGCTTACTTCTTTAACCGTGAACCTAACCCTCCCTCTACTGACCCCTTCTCCCGCTTCCAACACACCCCCTCCTCCTGGACACCACCCCAAGGCCTCCTACCCTCCCTCGACCTCTTCATCTCCAACTGCCGTCGAGACAACAATCGCCTCAACCTCTCCACCCCTCTCACCCACTCCAACCTCTCCCCCGCAGAACGTGCAGCCCTCCGCTCCCTCCGCTCCAATCCCAACCTCACCATAAAACCCGCGGACAAGGGAGGTGCAGTTGTAGTATGGCGCACTGACCTCTACATCGCCGAGGCCGGACGCCAACTCTCCGACACCTCCTCCTACCGCCCCCTTGATCATGACCCCACCCCTGAGCACCAAACCATCATCTCGCAAACCATCCACAACCTCATCACCTCAGGTGACCTCCCACCCACGGCCTCCAACCTCATCGTTCCCCAACCTCGCACTGCCCGCTTCTATCTCCTTCCCAAAATCCACAAACCTGAATGCCCTGGTCGACCCATTGTCTCCGCCTGCTCCTGCCCCACCGAACTGATCTCCAACTATCTCGACTCCATTTTCTCCCCCTTGGTCCAGGAACTCCCTACCTATGTCCGTGACACCACCCACGCCCTCCACCTCCTCCAGAACTTCCAATTCCCCGGTCCCCAACACCTCATCTTTACCATGGACGTCCAGTCCCTCTACACCTGCATTCCCCATGCAGATGGCCTTAAGGCCCTCCGCTTCTTCCTGTCCCGCAGGCCCGACCAGTCCCCCTCCACTGACACCCTCATCCGCTTAGCCGAACTCGTCCTCACACTCAACAACTTCTCTTTCAATTCCTCCCACTTCCTACAGACAAAGGGGGTAGCCATGGGTACCCGCATGGGCCCAAGCTACGCCTGCCTCTTTGTAGGTTACGTGGAACAATCCCTCTTCCGTACCTACACCGGCCCTAAACCCCACCTCTTCCTCCGTTACATTGATGACTGTATCGGCGCCGCCTCGTGCTCCCACGAGGAGCTCGAACAGTTCATACACTTCACTAACACCTTCCACCCCAACCTTAAGTTTACCTGGACCATCTCTAACACCTCTCTCCCCTTCCTGGACCTCTCTGTCTCCATATCGGGCAACCACCTAGAAACCGATATTCATTTCAAGCCCACCGACTCCCACAGCTACCTAGAATACTCCTCCTCCCACCCACCTTCCTGCAAAAATGCTATCCCCTATTCCCAATTCCTTCGCCTCCGCCGCATCTGCTCCCAGGATGAGGCATTCCACTCCCGTACATCTCAGTTGTCCTCGTTTTTCAAGGACCGTAACTTCCCCTCCTCGGTGGTCGAGAACGCCCTCAACCGTGTCTCCCACATCTCCCGCACCTCATCCCTCACACCCCGTCCACGCAATAAAAACCAAAAAAGAATCCCCCTCGTCCTCACGTACCACCCCACCAACCTCCGGATCCAACGCATCATCCTCCGACACTTCCGCCATCTGCAATCCGACCCCACCACCAAAGACATCTTTCCCTCCCCACCTTTATCTGCTTTCCGGAGGGACAACTCTCTCCGTGACTCCCTTGTCCGCTCCACAC